TGACTCGAGACTGACAAGTAATGATGAAAGACAGACCACGTGGCCGAGATACAATACATATTTTACAATACTTGTTAAGCACTACCTGGCTACTTCACGAAATGTTTTATATGTATTTTGTAGAATTCTACCACTACACTAATGCAAATGCTGCAATCTGACTGGCCAAGCTATCGCAAGGGGATGAGCGAAAGGGGAACGAAACGAACGCCAAGACGAGGGGGATGTAGGGAAGAAAGCGCCCATTCTCACCCCATACCCCTAGCCTTTTTCCACTCAGTTCTTCGCACCGGCGAACGCCTCTAACAGACTAAGGGCCTATGGGCTGATAGTTAGCCACGAACATTTTAAAATTTTTTTAGTTAAAATAAATGTTTCAAAAAGCACTGAGGTGGTCATTAAGAACGTAATTTCTAACAGTCTGAGGGCAACTATCAACTCATAGGCCCGTGACATAAACTCTCTATTGTTGTTATTGAATTGATTGTTCACCGCTGACTTTTCCTGTCGCATTGTCTGTATATTTGGCGACTACGACTTTAGAGCGTTTTCACGTGACGTCATCATATTCTTAAATCCAAAACTAAAGAGGCACCAAAGTTTTTGTCCTCATGAGGCATTAATGTGGCTACTTTTATATCTGTTTGCAACTTTCTAGCTCAATAGCGTCCATTGTTTGGAAACCAGCGCATTTTGAATTTCAGAGTTTTATGGCGGTGCGTGACATAAAGCTACGATTGCGTTTGTCCAAAAATATGTATTTATCTTGTGATTTTTACCATTTAAGACGTTAAAGTAGTTGGAAAAGTGCTAATTTAAATGTTTCCGTGCAGTTATTTAGTGTCCTAGGCAGCCAAAGTAAGTTCCAGATGTTAACACTATTTTCGGGCCGCCATATTGAGCTATATTGGTGTACCACAGAGGAACACTAACATGGCTGCTCCGTAGTAGGCTCTGTAAATTTGCGCGGAATATTTCAACGAATATCTCAACTTTGGGACAACGCGCACACCTTAAACTTGGAGAACTGTCTTCTTTATTTATTTTCTATAATATCACAAGTTCTTGACTTTATCCACGGAATGGTTTTTGATTTTATTTCTTATTGCGTGACAGTGAAAATGCTCTATTTTTGGCGGTGACGACCGTCCATGCATGTCCATATGTAATAGATTGCAGCGCGTTTGAAATTCGGAAGACACTTGCCCTACATGCGCACAACTCTACTTTTATTTTTTTAAAATTTAGGTTATAACTAATGGTTCAGTCATTGATCATCACCTATTTCTCTGACTGGAAAATGATCAACAGAGGAAAAATGTTCGTATTATAATTTGAACTTCCTGTTTTGATGACGGCGAGATTATGCAAAGTGATCTCGTGACGGACTGAACCACGTGATAGACTTTCACTTTTGCCACAGTAGGTTCTTCTTGTGAGCGCTGTCTGCTGGACCACAGTTCCTTTGAACTCGTGATTAACTTGTTGAGCTTGGTAAGTAAATTTTTCAAATGTACCGAACTGAAGTAATGTATAGTTTAATTTTGTAACGATATACTCATGAGTATAACTGATGTGCATCATGGCACAAGCCATCCTTGAGGAGTAGTCGAAGTAGGATATCCTTGGATCGACACCATTCCAACTAAATTTTGTATTCAATTTTAAAAGTGGCTAAGCGATTTGGAAAACAGAAAAACGAAATACACTTAAATGTCTTGAGGTGGGAAATGATAAAAGCGGAAATTAGCCGAGACGCCTAGACACTTCAATATTTGAAAATTTGAGAGCACGACTTTAATGATTTTCATTCGAACGTCTTGATCATATCATCGTCTCGGGTTAGGATTTTTTGCATTATCATGTCTAGTGAGTTTTGGGATCGGTTTTCTTTACACCAAACACCATTTACGACCATTTACGACCATTTACATGAGCTAAGAACTCGGCAAGAAGGAACGAAACGAGTCAAAATCTGAAAGAGGGGAAAGCGACCCATAATGGCTCTAAACGGCCGCACGTGGTTTTGCCTTTCACGATTTTCATGAGTGAGAGCGTTTACTCAACAAAACTGTGACTACGCAAAACTCAAGACTGAAATTGCCATAAAAATTACCAGAAAAATACAACAGAGAAATTAGCACCGACTCCTGAGATGATCTCGGCACCCCAAACAATAGGCACGGTGTCACCCCGGGG